TGTTGTAGTCTAACCAACTTCAACCTTTCTCCGGCGTAAAAGTACTTCAGTTAACATTATGCGTTGAGGAAGACAGTGACTACGCATAAGCAACACACGTCCAAGCTACCTCTGATGGGGGTTCATAACCGTATTCACTGTTTATAGTCTTCTGCCTACAACCCTGTGCCTGGCTTCTACGTTACTGACATGGTGACACCACGGAATACATCCAATGCTACGGAGGCAACGGTAGTCATGCATCTGAAGCGTCCTCATGAGCTGGAAGAGACTACTAACGATGTAGGAACATCAACCTACAGATGTGAATAAAGACTGGAACGTTGATAGTGATCTCAGAGAACTCGAGTCCTTACAGAGTTGTGAGTGTGGCTGGCACTTCCCTGCCACCTACACCATGGGTGTTTCCCCTTTGCAAAGATCAAACTGCTTTCACAGTGGTCGGACTCAGAAATTTCCTTTGATATATTTCTTGTTCAGAAACGGGTTCAAAGATTCCGTAAGCGACGCTTAATTACTTAAATTCTCGGTGTCTTGTTTTCAATAAATGAAATTGAATAGTTCAGCATATAGTGACATAAGAACTACCAACAAGGATGCCGCGGAATCGCAAGTAATCAGGTCCAAGTTAGATATTTAGTAGGGGCTAGCAGTGGAATGCATCACGCCTGTTTCGTTCTACGTGAGACTTGTCATGTGGGTGCACCTCCGACCCGATGAGTGTTGGAGTTGTCGTAACGAGAAACATCTGAAATCCCGATAACAAAGCTATCACACGTTGAACAAGATGTGGCCATTGTAACTACGTGGTCTATACCGCCACTTCAAGTAATACGTGCTGGATTCTAGTCTTATCAGGAATCCCAGAAAACTGGAATACCGGAGCGTCTAACTGATGAATAGTACATACGACGAAGAGGCCACCCTGTGTTACACTACTAACCTCTACGACTGGTTAAAGTGTATGACTATATTATGGTATTATTCTATTCTGTTGTTTCAACACTCAGCTCATATCATTTGTCTGTTAACACATAAAAACTGGTTGGGCATAAATGAGTTAATCATTGGCAGTTTTCTCCATTCAATTCCGCACTCCTGAAGTTTATAAACATGACCTATATATGAGTATTATTCACAGTATTTATCGTGAATATGTGCAAACGACGTATTCTCAAAATAGGATATCGAATAAATCACCCAATATAGACACTCGCAATGCTATTCATATCAGAGTGGACTATGGGTATCGGTCTTTTGATTACCTTGTCAAAAGACTTTTTTAGCGCGAATGGAATACTGTGCAGGTGTGACACACCGAACTAAATGGTTGGACTGTGACCAGCGGTTCACAGACATGACATCGCTCAACTTAATAACCTGGTAGTGTTACTATCCTTCTAACTACAAATGAAGCTCATTTTCCTGTGCTCAGAAGATGAGAATCCTTGTAGTGAGGACTGCGAGCAATCACTTCTCGTGATGTGACCCTCCACTACAAATACACATGAACATGTGAAGCTAGCGGTAATCCGTAGACCGGAGTATTATGAAAAACGAAGTTAGAAGAGGAAACTTGTCAAAGCATGCAGTTTCAAGAGACAAATATCATGAGTACCAAAGTATATTATCAGAACAGAAAACACCTAGTATCAACTAAGGTGGAAAGATAAATTTAGATATGCAGCTCTCCAAACTTGGATCACATATTCTTAGCCATTTCATTCTCTTCTGTTCGTTCTGTGTAACAGGTAACATATCCCGTGTACATTGCCATCGAATTGTATCACTGGTGTATCGGTTTCAAGAACATATAGTAACAGGAATGATTCAGTACTTGTTCCATATCACCGACAGTTTACTGCCTCTAGAATGCAAAAGTAGTAGGAGGGATAGTAATGATAAAAGACGTTTATTGTAGTTTATGTTGAACAATAAATTGTAGCCAGAATGTTATCTTCATCATGATGTGATGTAAGAGAAACTCTCCAATGATGAACACAGGGGTATGTCTGATGAATATAATGTCTAAGGCTCAATGCTCTATAATCCCCCAAGACACTTGACTGCAGCTAGAGAAAAAACACGAGAAAGCCATGCACGTCTCAGACTTGACTGTCGGTGTTTCAAACAGATATTTACCCTCCATTGGGTCTCTTGACACAAGCACAACTTTTGGAATTCTTGACCTGGAGACGGTATTCTACCCCATTGGCAGAGAGGTCTTATGATGTGTGCCCCACTGAAATAATTGAAGGGTAAGTACGCCAACCTGTTGAAAGCTCGACATTTGAACACTCATAGGCGTGTTAGAAGACTGAGTAAGTAATGCACTAACTGAATCACAATGCATTCAACAGCCACCTACAAATTTGTACCACCTGGTTGACAAAAAGTCCACTGTAAGTGAAACAAAATTCAGACTCACAACATTATAGTTGGACGTCGAAAGCTGAAACCGATCAACAACAGCGTCATCAACTCTCACTCTTTCCATTCTCAATTAATTTTGCAATGAAAGTGGAAATCAATTTTCAACTCTCCTCCTCTGACTTTACATCGATTGACTGTATCCCACAAACCCCCTATCAGACCTGGAGTCTACACATGACATTCTTCGGTCAAGTGAATATAGTAAGATGTAAAATCTTTTGAACATCTTGAGTGGCAACATGTGAATGCTTGTGATGCATTTCTCATCATCCGGATGCAAATTTATGCTCTAGAACTGGTTGGTGTGTCTAACAGTAAGCAGCGTTGTGAATTGGTATGCTGGCCACTTCACCTACTTGTTAAACAGGATCAAGCCTGATGGGCCAGTGAGGGACGAATGTTTTACACGAATGGAAAAGGTTCGATCGACATTTGACAAAGTACACCATTTGTGGCAGCGTTGTGATATTCAATTGCCACACATATCGCTGCAGTTCACTTTTTTCAACCCTACGGCTGCAAAACATGACCATTAAAGGTAGAGAACATGAGTAAACTTCAAGTGTTTGACCACCGTTGTACTGCCATGCCAATAATGTACTGTTTATGGTATAGATAAGTTAGTTGAAAAGGTTGTATGCCTTCAGATGGCTTGGACATGCTTTACGCATTCCTACCGTCATTTTCTACTCGGATGCAACATGTAAGCTGAAGTAGGTTTGGCATGAGAGGAGTTCAACAGTAATCAGATTAAAAAGGCATTAGTCCATGAAGTTGTTGACTTTTAATCTTAAGCGTGTTGAGAAGTCTAGACTTCCAGGTAGGAGTCCATATAGCAAGCGACAACTGAGGTTGGAGACAGTATGTGACAGTATACAACTAAGTTTGTCTCCAAATGAGTTTGTGCGTTCAGATACCATATCTTATAAAGAAACAGAGGTACGATTACAATCTACACCAGTACTAAAGTTTTACTTTCATACAAATGAAGGATGAAAACATTTGCGTTTAGCAAAACTACATGTGATGGAAGTGGTATAGTGATGCACTAGCGAATGGGATCACTGTTAAGATGGGTAGGACACTTCAGATGACCTCTGACTACTCCAATACATCCAACTACCTTAAGCACTTGACCTTTAACCCAGGATTTAGATCCAGCTCCGCTTAATTCGGCAACCGCGTAGTATCATAAGCTCTCATAATAAATGCGACTGACAGCCCGGTACATAAGCACCTATACTCTACTATGTTATTGATTTATATCAAGCTTCAAACTCTTGGTGAAACTGAGAAGGTCCTAGGTTACCTGGAGTATGGAAGGGTAGTGCACTCTTATGGTCTAGCACAAGATGTATTCAAGGATTATGACCAGGAGTTATGAATGAAAGTGGCTGAAGTGCTAACTGGAAATGGGTGGCAGAAATGATCTATGATTGATCTCAATCTCTAACTGCCCTGGTCTACAAGAAAGGAGAAAACTCCTCTTATGGTCAATGTAGAATTATCAGACTGACTAATGTAGTGTCAGCGATCCAAGGCCTTATTCATGCTGGATGAAGACAATGACAATATGAATTCTCAGAACAAATATGAGACTCAGTTGTCAACTAACAATACTAAGGGTGCCAACGTGATATCCGATTATCTGCTAGGGAGCATTAGATTACTGTCACACTCTGAGGCTGTGGAACATAATCAAGAAAGGCAGGAGATATGAATCGAAATTAAAATGCCCTTAGCAACTTTGTGGACATTCGTGCAGTAGGTGATGAGCCACATTTATTGTGACGGCTAACGATACTACCCGGCTACCTCAGTAGGCGGAGCGAGGCTCAAACCCTTCTCCTAAAACAAATGAACCATAGGTCCAGGTATTTTATAACCGTTGCTCTTATGTCAATCCAATGCATGGTACGGAATAGCAAAGTCGGGAAAACAATGGTCAGATTTAGAGTCTTGCTTAAAAGCAGTAAGACACTTTATGAGATTTTATTGATTGAGATAGCTACGAAATGTGTTGCACATAACAAGCCACCTTGATGTACAATCTTAGATCGAGTGAGGTTGGGTTTCAAATTCCAACGGCAGCCTGGACAAGTAATGATACTACTCCATGGATATTTAACAGTTGGTTTGACACGCGTAGACTTCAGGCTAAAGTTCATGAAACAAATGAATAGAAACTCGGCGATAGGAATCAAAATCGGCATCAGTGATGCAGATAGACCCATACTATGTCCTCACCCGAAACTTTATTCGACACTTCGGATAGTCCAAGTTCCATTCTTGCGTAAATCATCAGTTGTAACTCTAAACACATAACTTCCGTTGGCGAGAAATAAAGGTTTCAATCTGACAAACTTTCTTAATGACCTGCATAATAATGAAACTATCATTCTACACGAACTCTAAGCTGACACAACACAGTAGTTTGGCTATGTCAAACGTACATCTTAACCGCTACGGACGTAAAGAATTTGGCAATTTTCTGAAGAATAGTTTATAACAAAAATAGCAGCCAGTAAACAGCTGAAAGAGATCTGAAGTCATAATCCCATAGTAATGGCAAACGCTTATAGTTAGTAAAATTAGTCTCTTGTATTTATGTACATGGTGTCATTTGTGTGCAAACAAATAAATTAATGAAGAAAGTGAAGTGTCCACAAAAACAAAAACAAACAAAATGTCAGTATTGCAGTTAGTTCTTTCTACTAACTTTTATATGTTCACTTTACACATTATCGTTTGATTTTAAAGGCTGTATATCATTTCCATTGGATATTTTCAAGTCAGATAATGCTTTAATTGTGTCTGACACTTGAAGATTCTCAGACGGTAAAACGTTGGTGACATCTAACTTATCACTTGATAACTGTGGACTATGACAACCAGAATCTGGAATTTCTCCTTTTTGTTTTGAAACTGATTTTTCTACAGTACGACAGTTATTAACAGATCCAAACTTATTTGATCTTCCTTTACTCTGACGAAATGAAACCTGTAATCGTCTACCGGATAAAAGTAATCCATTCATCACGTCTATGGCATTTTGTGCACTCTGAAAGTTACTGTAAGTAACAAAACCAAATTTCTAGAAGAATTCGTTTTGTAATCTTTTGGTATAGAAACATTTATGACCGGTCCAAACTGTGAAAATAGAACGTATGTTTGTGCTTCCGTCATGTTCCCGATGTTATATATGTATACCGACGTAGATTCATTTTTATCACTTTTGATTGGCTTTGATCGACTAAAGTTAGGCAACCCATTCGACTGTTTAAATATCATATCCGAGTTCTGAACAGGAAAGTTGGACTTTTGTTGATTAGGAGAATAAAATGTATTTTGTACGTTAGTAAATATGGGACAACCTTGCACTGAGTTTCCATAGCTTTCTAGTTGATTGGTACATAAGGCAGTTAAAGGAATTTGGTTGAGGTAGTTCTGTTGAAGAGGTAACCACAGGTTTGAGTAAGGCTGTTGAGAATAGATATATGGGGTTAAGTAACCGGAGGCTAGACTTAAGGCAGAAGCAGGGTTTTGATATTCAGTATTGGGATAATCATTACTCCACAGTAAACCCTGAGGATTGAGTTGTGGTTGAATAGCGGGAGATTGCAGTAATGATCCTTGAACAGAGTTGGCTAATGCTGTGCATATATTATTTGGGATGAAAGATAACTGCTGACCTGAAGGTGCGTAAACTTCAGGCGCTGACGTCTTGGAATGTGATGTTAGATTAGCAGAGAGAGGATCGTTGAAGCAATCGTTACGGAAATTTTGATGAACAAATGGTCTTTTAAAATTGTTTCTAGATTTCGCTGAACTGACCGACTGCCGATAGGGTGGAGTAGCAAACTTTATAGATAACACATGAGTGTCTGCAGAACCGGGCCAAACCCGCCCATCTAGCGAACGCTTAGCAGCTTCGGCATCAGAAGGATTTTCGAACAGTACGTAGGCGCTCCCTTTGGAAACGTTAGTGTCGTGATCACGCAGTATACGACACTGAACAACACGACCGAATCGTCCAAACTCGGCTGTCAAATTATCCTCATTAAGTGTGAGTGGGAAATTTTTGACATACAGATTTGAGCTCTGACAAAGCCGTCCTTGCAACTTAGCCAATGAAACTTTTAAAACTTTGTCAGCAATGCGATAGCCATTGAACCGTGTAATTGCTTTGTGTGCAGAATCAGAATCCTCATACTCACAGAATCCAAAGCCAAAACTCGAGCCGCTATTTCTGTCTCGGATTATTCTGCACGTTTTGATACTACCAACTGACGAAAACAGGTTGGTTAGGTCGGCATCTGTAATGGATGTTGGGATGTAATTGATGATTAAGTTGCGATCATGATACATAACCATATTGAGGACTGGAACCAAAAAAAACAAGTAAACTTAGTGTTTTCATGCATAATATTTAACTAAAGTAGCAATTTTGTATTAAAAGTCAAAATCCATTACGAATGATAAGGTTTTTTTTTCCCGACGTGCATTATGCTAGGCAAAACACCATTCGGATGTAGTAGCTCACTGGTCAAGGGAGATGACTTTTGACCGGTGGGTTACGGGTTCGAAACCCACTACACCTACCAGGGTTTGGATAGCCAGGTAGAATCACTAGCCCTCAACATAGTAGGTGTGGCTTATTGTCTACTGCACGAATACGTATAAGGCTGCTGAGTGTATTTTAGTTCTAAGTAGTCGAAAACTTCCAGAAACTCCAAATATAAATCCTGATTCAATTGTTATGCTTTCTAGACACCCAGGATTGAAGCCAATGTGGATCCCATTGCAACACCATTTGACTATCCATAGTATTCCTTGCTGAAGAAGCAGTATACATCCATTATACTTCTTGTGAGACGCTAATTGAATTCAGGCACAAAGAATCTAATTTACTTACCTCACTTTCTCAATTCGTTACATATCAAACCCACTTTTTCTAACAAGGGTATATTACTGAAAAGGGATAAGATGTCTGAAGATATCATGAACTTACTATGAACACTCATTTCTTATCCCGACAGCAAACTGAAAGGTATCTTCATTAACCTGTTTTACAACTCCCTTGTGCAACACTTACAAGAGTTGTGCTGACCATTTTGCAGTCAGAGTCCAGGGAGTTTGAAATGTCGAGAACTTTCCAGAGTGGTGGCTGATTTTAATGTGCTTTTAGTAAATAAATTTTGAACTGAAGGACTTCCATAGAATTCAGAAATATTCCCATCTCTACTATTTTGGGGTTGGTATAGTAAATCCCAAACTTGCTTCGAAATTTCGAAGTAAAGTCATTGGTTGAAAAAGGCTTTGGGCATAAGCAGCTTCTTACGAAGAATTTATCAATCTTTCTCCATATCATAACAGATACTTTGGAAATTTTTTGGCTATGGCATAAGTGGGTCGAAAGGATGAGTAGAGTATGACTTTCAGTAACTTTAGATACGTAACTGAAATCGTAAGGCCACCATCAACTTTGATATTTGAATACTTCATGCAAAAAGCATTACCAATTCAATAGTCTTTATTCATTTTGTTAAAACTTAATTACAGAATATAACTCCGATTTTTAAACACCAGGTTTCAGATTATAACGTGGATTCAGTTTAGAGGTTCCTGAGAATTGACTGACTTTAAGGTAGTATTCATCATGAACTGACATCAGTTGGAAAACTATTGAAAGCCTGGGAGCATTGGAACATCTGTTTCGTCCTAGTATGGGACTTCTCAGTAGAGTGTACTCAACCCACAAAGAATCAAACCTGCGGCGAGCGTGTTACCATTCATCCACAAGGTCAGAGTTCAGTGCTCCACATTTTCCAACTTCTGTTAAATGGCGACTATGGGACTATTATTTAAGATCATCAGCAAGCATCTGCTTCCCTTAGGACTTGGTTGACTCCGCAAGTTACAGCTACTCTCATTAAATCCTCAGGATATTCATCTTGAAACTTGTAACTAATTAGCAACAGGTAGTAATTCAGTGGATTCCACTGCTAGCCACTACCCATCATTACTATACATAATTAAAACAGGCAATACCGAGGCATCCGCACAGGAGCCCATATGACAAAAGGAACTGATTAATTCGGTCCAATCAACGGCAGTGTAATACAAGCAATAACACTAAAACTATACCCGTCGCACAAGTGGGTGTCGTGGCTCGGTGGTCTAGTGGATAACGCTAAAGCGTTTGAAGCGATCGCTCCTGAGTCCGAATCTCGGTGGGAACAACATCACTCACTGGGAGGCAGGTACATCCAGCTGACAAGTCCCAAATACGACGAAATGCGCGTCCTGGATTCCACTGCTAGCCACTACCCATGATTACTGCAGATAGTAATTCAATTTGGAGATTCAAGAGGACTGATTTTTCAGGCTTGTTCCCTGACGAGAACTTGGTGGACACTGCTGAAGATTCCCATACTGAAAAGAAGTAATCGCTTGACACTCATAGGTTTTCAATGGCTCTCCGAACGATATTAGTCCCCGATGAATACTAATATAACCCGGTTCTTAGCATATCAGATACTACAGTTTATCGCAAAAAAAATCGACTTTTTAGCACAAGACAATTTTTCATTATTACTTGTTCACTTCCCAAGTAGAATCGAGTGTGATAACTTGAATTAAGCAGTTGACTTTTAATCTGCAGGTCATGAACTTAAAAATCGTTCAAAGGTTTCACATTTTAGGCTGAAAACCAACTGACGGTATAGTAACTGACAAGATTGGATACTGCAATAAAATACTGCGATAGGACGGTCATTTTTACAAAATGATGCATACATACACATCTGCATTTCAAGGAGTAGAGTCTAGGGTCAAGTCACGCTCCTTATATACAACCTTAGACACCTGGTAGCATCATAAACCCTTACAAATATCCAACTCGCAGCCTAGGACACATACTAAATTAGTTGCACTATCTACATACGACCTACTGCATAGCAGACCTGTCAGATTTTTATATTCGCGAATATATATCACGGTAAAGTCAAACTAAGAATCTTGAACGTCCAAACTAATTAAATTTGACATACGAGAGATAGGCAATTACTATTCGTAATCTCCACCTAGGCATCCACCGACTGTAGTTCAGATGATGAGAAGGATGAATTCTGTGAGAAGCTGTCAACTATACTACAGAAAGCAAAACGTTCAAATTTAATCACAACGGCAGGACCTCAAAAACCAAGTAGGGAAGCTGAGCCAATAAGAAAGACATCCTGAGGGTATTTAGGAAATCTTGTGCCAATGAACAGATGATGATCGTCCGTTGCAATTTTGTTTCGATAATCACTTGTTTTTAGGCAGCACTAATTGTAAGCAAAAGGCAAAACAATTTTACATAGCGTCCGCCGACAACAAATCAACGATGGACACATATCGCAATAAACCACAGTTAAAGAGGATCAGTGGAGGATTGCTGCTTAGTTTGAACTCCAATCACTCGCTAGTACGAGTATGTACATGTCTGCACCTTAGTGGTCGCAGGAAATAAGTGATAGGAAAGCTTATCAATGCTCGATTGAAAAATGAGGACGTATTTAGGGAGGAGAGCAAAAGCAGCTGGAGCGTAAATTAACTGAGTCTTCGCAATCATCAAGAAGAGTGGTGGGTGGTGAAAGTGAGAGGGGTGGAAAAAGGATCAACATTAGATAATACCGAAGAACTATTTAGAATCAGTAAAGATACGAACAAGAAGATGATGGTTAGTGAAACCTTAACTGAAAAAGGTGGGACCCTGATAACCTCTGAGAACAGATGGCTAGTATGTTAGGCAGGACATTTCGAAGTATAATTCAAATGACCCACAAGGCTTCAGTTGACTAGCATCCGGCCCGACCATGAATGGAACGTAGACGTCCATCTACACACTTTTGTCGAAGTTGACAAGGTTGTTTTAAACATGAAACGATCCAGAGCAGCTGGAATTGACGAATGGCCATTACAAGTTTTCAAGAATGGAGGTAGGAGATTGCTGATTAGGGTAACAGAGGTACTAGTTACTGTGTGGGAATAAGCGGTAGTCCTGTCAGACTGGTCTATTTCACTGATAATTTCGGTCTGTAAGGGAGAGGAGTCTTCTTGTAACATTCATAGAATGACAAGTTTAACTAATATCGTTTCCAACATCCTTGGGTCTATAGCTATCCGATGTCTAACTGGAGCTCGAGAAAACTACACAGAATTCAGATCTGGACGAGGTTGCATCAAACAAAATATTCTCCATTCATCAGATTATGGAAGACATACAAACTTATCGGCAGCCGACACACCATATTTCTTAACCTGAAGACAGCATCTGACAATGTCGACCATGATGTGTTTTGGCAGTGGCTAACAGTGATCGGAGTGCCAAAGGAATATACTGTGATAATCATAGCTCGCTACCTAAAGTTATGCACCTGTGTAAGGGGCTCATAGAGAGTTGGCATGTGAAGTGATAGCAAGCAGAGATGTCCTCCAGAGATGCCTGCTGTCACCGTCCCCGTTCAGCCTCGTGAAAGATGTACTGATGGATATGGCTTACGGCACCTCCGACTTTGCTGGGATTCATCTACTCTCTAGAGGGCCCCTTGTTGACGTAGTATAGGCGGATGACATTGTTCTGCTAAGTGAAAACGCTAATAAAATGTAGGGTCTTCTGAATGCCTTCAGTGGAAATCTGAGTATGTTTGACATCCATTTCGCACTCCTCAAATGCAACATGATGATTCAGAACTGGTAGGCAAGTACTTCAAGATTAAGGGATGCGGCTAAAAGTCACCACCAGGTGATATAGTGTTCTGTGTGAAAACGTATTTTCTGTTTTGTAAGCATATATTTTGAAGTGAAAACTGCAATCGTAAATCCTTTTTGCTGCTATTTGAAGGTCCAACTAACTTACTTTGATTTGTGAGCATCATTCTTCATAGATAAATGTACTTTCATCCCAACTAAGGGGTGGAAGTGCAACCAATACTTTGCACACGAATTAACGGTATGAAACACGATTCAGTAACAGAAGACGGCTTAGAAACCATAAAAATAGGTAAAATATGTATACAGCATACAGAAAATACGCGAATTTGCGCACGAAACGCTATATCCTATAAGAAGCATGATAACGCCAGGGGATAACTTTAGTCAAGTATAGAGAGTGCAGTGAAGGGGTGCGTAGATTCCACTTTGAGAGCATGTGCGAAAGAACAAAGAGTGGCCAATTTTGATGCTTGTGAATCTGCTGTTCCCCTCAAAGTGACCACAAAATAATGACCCATTTTCGTTTAGGCTTGAAGGTTACATAGGTTATCTATCCTAGTTTTGCTCAGAAAAAGGTTGACTCTCGGAAGCTTTAAAAGACTTCTCAGTTGTGTGACTACTGGACTCATCGTTAAGTAGAAAACTGTATGAAACAGGATAACAGAATTCGAAGTTGCTGTTCAAGGATGTGATTAGTTCCTGCAGGAACTTATGGTGATGAATATGTATTTCGAGGACCAGCCGACCTACTGAAGTTTGGGTAGCCAGTTAGTATTATTAGGCTTCACACAATAGATGTGATTTATTGCATCCTGTACGAATGTGCACAAGGTTGGTGAGTATAATTAGACATAATTGTGCCTGCTGTTCTGATGATTTTAGCAGCTTAACCAAAAGGCAGTAATTTCTTAAGTTGATGCTAGGCAGGAATCCAACTGGTTACCCGACAGAACATCTTTGCTGTGAATCGCTAGCCATATTTCTAGTTACGTACTAAACAGCAGTGAACTAATTAATTAGCGGCTAGTTATTAGTTAGCTTACATCAGTGATCATTCTATGCATCTACTAAATTAAGCAGAACTGCCAAATGTTGTAGACATTCTGTTACTATACCATAGTACAACTTCTCATCCTTATGTTCCCGATCAGCACTGCAACTCTATGCATTTATGTGAATATTATTTTCTTGCACTCTAAATCAAACGACATACACAACAAAGCTCAGAATGGCACTACGGATAGCTGAGTTGTTTAATCCGGATGAACGAACTAAGCAGCTGAATACTAACTACCCTGTGACTAGTGTGTTTAGACATTACTTTGTCAACTGAGGAAGCGGTAACCTGGTAATAACACCGGCTTTCATACAACAGATGTGGCTTGTTTTCTAGCGTCCTAAGCTAAACAAGAATGTTAAGTAATATTCCTTTGTATTCAGCCTAGTTCTTTGGCAAATTAAACATGCATGTTTTTGAAGTGGTAGATAAATATGTAAAACAGCAAGTCTAGTGATCTCTAGTAAAATAAGAATAGTTTTGCGAGGAAAAAAAATTTTAAGTACACATTTTTGTTATCGGTACTGGTGATAGTCATTGTATCAAGACTGACGTTTTTCAAAACAACGAGATGAGTAATAAATCAAATTTTATGAACTCGCTGTGAATACCGTAAAAGATAAGACTCAAATTACTAAAAATAATGAGTAGATGTCCATAACGATTGAAAGTCATTTTAATCACTATATACTTAGTATTGGTGACCTATGGAAAAGCTTAAGCGAGGAATTTATCCAACCTACCATTTCATTTCCGTCATAAAGTACTTAACAGCTTTGCTAGCCATTTTACTTACTTTATATCCTCACATGTTATGCATCCGACGTTCGTAGCTGAAGTAGACCCCGTAAAACAACATTGAAAAGAGCTGAATGCTGACAAAACAGTGTAGCCAATCAACACATTTGAATTGCTGTGTGAATTCACGACTATTTCTATGTAAATATAACCAAAAGACTGACTGAATATAAAAACTGAGAAACGGTTAAAGGTTTTGCCCGATTCATTTCTACTAAGCGTGTTACAATCAGTAATCGAAACCGTAACGAAACGTGTGCTAGTACATCCCGAACTATATATCAAAACGAAATAAATATGGACATTGTGAATCAGTGCATTGGTTGAAAAACTAGTAGTAAAAAGACGATAGAATTAATCAGAATGAGAGGAGAAACAGCAAAAAAGAATCACGATTGACACGAAAATATACAGACGTTCTATCCTTCGACTTTCAAGGTATAATGTGGATGACAATTAGGAAACTAAGTCATTCGTTCATTTTCACTGCACAAGTAATTTTGAGGATACTGATGAAACGAATCCGCAACAGAAACTGCATTGCGAAACCCTCAAGAGTTCGCTACGGAACATCGAATATTCTAGGGATGCTTATTCTGTCGTACCCTCATGGCGGAGATAAGCAGACACTCAGAAAACTAAACCAGAATTACTTCTATTCGTCGAATTCGCAAAAAAAGACACTAATATCGAAGTGATAAACGGTA